ATTTGCTTTTAGTGTAACTCATATTGTCAAAATATCGTTTCAGCAACCAGACGCTTCACTGGCAAGCTCTTGGCAATCCTCGGTGCCAGGGAACTTGGAAGAAAGTTCGGCGAGTAGAGCAGTGTTCGTGTCCAGCTGTCCACAGCTTTATTTTTATATAGTCTGTGAAGTACGCATTTCCCAATAGGTTTGTAAACCTGTGAAAGATCATCAGGTAAAACCCAGTGCTTCCTAAGCTGGCAAAAAACTGACCACAGTCCTTGAACACATGGCATGGCTATACTAGCACTCAAGTCGAGAAAGAACATTTAGGGAACAGTTCTCAAGAAACAGTGTGTCTTGATTTTTACTGAGCTAGGGACTATCTTCCACCTTCCATCTGGAGCTCATTCACCAAGTGGTCCGTCACACACAGAATACACGGACTACGCTCACACTAACCTTACCATACTTGACGCATTTGTAGGTGAGGAAACTGTCATTTAAAGGTGTCCACCCTTGAATCTTACTTTCTTTCTTCATAGTCTGTAATCTTATTGAAAACTTTAAAAAAAGAGAAAGCTTTCCACTTAATAAAAAAATATATATATACACACTTTCACACGTAATTTGTATATGTTAGTTCATAATACTGAATAAATAATGCCAAGTAAGACTATCACAGGTGATTCTCCACAGGGAACATTGCTTAAGATTTCAGTAAGCAATTTATAAAGAGAAATTAACAACGTTCCAAAAAAAACTTTTTTTGAGGAAAAAACCCCACTTTTCTTTGATTAGTTGAAAAAAGCCAATCATTGTTGGTCAGTAGGCATTCCTTCAAATGTTATTTTCATTATGAGTAATATTGGACTTAATGAATTAACATAATACCTTAATTATGAAAAGTCTACCATCAGAAGCATCGAAGATTATTTCTGAGGCCTGGGGTTGACTAACCTATCTTTCAGAGCCCAATGCCAGGTATATGAGGGGACTTCAAATTTCTCATGGAAAAACAGGATAAAAAAGATGATGTAATTTTCCTATGAATGTTTTGAAACCTCCTCCTATTTTGTTCCACACTATTGATTTCCTTGTGTTCGGCTCTAGTACCTGAGAGCCGGGTAGATAAAGGGAGAGGGCATGGATTTTATGACATCTATTATGATCTTTCTCAATGGCACTTCAGTCTTCTGTGTTTTATGGCTGGAAAACCAAGGAACGAGAGGCAATGTGGCTTGTTCTCAGGACTTAGGATAACGAGCCATTCTGCAAGTCAGCTGCAGACCCAGAGCTGGCCCTCCTCCGGGACTCTGCTTCCAGGAAGAGTCTTCCACACCAACAACTCTGCTGGGAACACGAAGCCCTGCTAATTTGGCAAACAGAGTTTACATTCGGAATGTGTTCCTTGGAGAATTAAACCTCCAGATTTAAACTAGGAAATTTGGTGTTAGTTGTAGAGGATATCATTCACTAATAAATTATGATAAAATTGCCTATTTCTTGGTACTTACCATGTACTCCCGGGATGCCCACAACAAGCTTAATCGTGATGGAGATATTCCTGGTATTACATGCTGAGGGGTAACAGTTTTTCTGACTGCCCCCATGACTATGTAATCAAAGAGTTGGAAAGG